TATATATATATATATATATATATATATATATATATACATTTAGCGGGGAAGTTTCAGCCTTACTGACCTAAGCAAATACTTTACTCATTTTATTAAAACAGTAACTAGGATTGTAAATAACTATGACACCAAAAGCACAAATAATAAAAGCATTTCAAGTGAATATCTTTAGACTGTCCTTCAAGTTTAATGAGTATTGTTTTTTTCTTACTTCAGCTTTTAAACAGATATAGAGAAAGCAACAACTGGCTCCAACTACACACCTATTATGTCCCGACCGCCATCTTGTCCTCCTCCCCCCCTTTCCCCCGCCTTAACTTCACAGAGCTTAGATGAGTTTACCTTACTCTTCCATACCTTGCTTGTTTTGGCTTCACCTAATATTCTAATCGGACGATGATTCGTACAGATTGGGTAGATGCTAAAAGTTCTAATCGGCAAAAGTAAACAAACTAAATCCATAATATCCATATAGCATTCACCATGCCAGCATAGCCAGTCGCCTCCATATAACAACCACGCCGTGCATGCCAGAGACACGACACTATCACTGGTGAGCAGTACTGTGCACAACTCAGTAATCAGGAGACAGCGAGTTCAACGCATCTATAGATTGTAATGTACATTCCACGCCACCCACAGCGCTTCACCGTACCGTTTCTAACAGGGTGCCGAAGATGGTCGTGACGTGTGGAAGCATAGATAGACACTTTTGGTTAAACTGCCATTTTGTCGGAAAATTTCTGCACTTGTCGGAAAAATAACGATGGTTTTCTGTTTAGTTTAGTTCTAGTGGCCTTATGTTATGTTCAAAATAATCAAAAATGAGAATTAGTGTCAAATTTTTATCGGGATATCTTCATTTCTTGCCCCCTCTATGAATTTTCCTATCTACGCCCCTGAGAACAGACCACGGGGTCCTGTCTATATTATATGCCGATAAAAAGGAAACACGTCTACTTTTTCGCACAGATGAAAGGCCTCAGTGTGCTAAGAAAAGTTTTCTGTTTTTTTTTTTTTAAATCTCCTTCTTAAAGAATCTATATTACATTAATATAACTTTTTACCAATATCTTTTTCGCAAAATGGATAATTTCCAATTTCTATGCCCATTGCCCAAAATTGCCCGAATTCAACCAGCATTTACCCGACTGGAGGGGGCTGCAGCCCCTCCAGCCCCCCTGGCTCCTATGCCTATGTGTATGCTGAGATCTAGCATAAAACATTCAACGGGAATCATTAGGAAAGTTACCGGAAGAAACAAATTCCTCTAAAATCGTTTTCTGACATTCGACATTATCGGTGAAAGAAAAAGGAGGAGGTTGGCGTGCCTGTGCGTAATATCAAGGAGTAACTAACATATTCGAGAGACGAGTATAAAAGAACTAAGAACATGGCTCATCGAAACTATAAAGAACGATGGAGGTAAGAAGAATGAACGAGAGAAAAAAGGATTGAGGCTAGAAATATAAGACAAAATATTGGCTGAGGCTGGAAGTATGAGGGAGGAAAATAACCGAAGTTGAAAGAATGAGAGAGAGATAAGGATTGGGAATTAGAGGAAAAAATGCTAATCTACATCTTTTCGTTTATATAATTTATGGAACTGATCGACGATAGGAAATCCCTAGCTCTCCTCCTTTCTCTCTCTTTTTCTCTATTTCTCTATCTGTCCTATCTATTTGTCTGTCTGTCTCTATCTCTATCTATCTATCTATCTATCTATCTATCTATCTATCTATCTATCTATCTATCTATCTATCTATCTATCTATCTATATATATATATATATATATATATATATATATATATATATATATATATATATATATATATATATCCATACATTTAACCAACCACTTCTCAATCTCTCTCTCTCTCTCTCTCTCTCTCTCTCTCTCTCTCTCTCTCTCTCTCTCTCTCTCTCTCTCTCTCTCTCTCTCTCTCTCTCTCTCTCTCTCTCCTCTCTCCCTCTCCCTCTCCCTCTCCCTCTCCCTCTCCCTCTCTCCCTCTCTCTCTCTCTTCTCTTCCCTCTTCTGGTGTTTAATGGCCTACTCCATCTTCATACCCTTGGCTCCCTCCCCCCGGTGCCCGGGACTCTAGTGATTAGCGCCTGTACAAACATTGACCTGCGTCCAGAACCGAACGACACCGATGTGCCCAAAAGCGAGCGATTCCGACCCTTACGGACGATTTTAATGGACTTTCCCCTCGACTTCCCACGGTGCCCAGGACCTTTGGGTAATCGCCTGTGCCGAGTCTGACCTGTGCCCAGAAAGTAACGGCAAAAGTGAAGTGCCCCCAGAGCAAGCAAATCCGACCCTTATTGTTAAATACTTTGAAACTACAAGTGAACTTATATTGTGATTATACTCAAAATGTTTGTCAAAAAATCCTTATTCTTAATTACTATGTTCGTAATTATTATTGTTGTTGATATCGCAGTTATTTTATGTTCATGATTTAATTGTATTGTCATGCCCAGTTTCCCCGACCTAACATGTGACCACAGGACCCTTGCCCTGCTATAAAACAGAAACTCTGTACTGACATTTCCCACCAAAATCAATGTTGCCATGTATTTATATATTTATTGAATTTTTGTGAACCATTCAAAATCTTAGAGAGCCGAAGTCACTCTGCCCTCAGCATCGGCTCGGTCAACATCTCTAGCTCCTGCAGCTCTGACCTAGAATAAACCCGTGGAACTCTGCCGATATTTTATTCACACATCAGTCGTAACCATTACACTGGTGGCTAGCTAAGTGGGATATCGCACATATACCACAAATCCGAGGAGAATTCGAAGAGACTGCTGATTACTTCAAGTTCGACCTTCCCTGTCTGCCAAATTAAGGTGAGTTGCTTATCTTGTACAGTTTACCTCGTTGGTTAGGATTTATCAGTGAAGTGAAGTGTTTCCCTCTCGTTGTTCTTTGCAGTCTCCCCTCATAGAAAACGAGATTTTCCCCTCAGCCAGTCTCTCGCTCACCACTCGCGCCACGCACACGCAAACTCACTCGGAGTTTATTTAAATTCATACCCTTGGACTACTTATACCCATTTTTTTTTATTTGAAGTGTATGTCTTACGTATCACCCAGTGACCGAGTACTACGTAGTAAAAGGACTAATTCAGACTCGTTAGACATTGACAGACAATTGCTCTCCTCTACTTCTCCCTTACCGCTCGACTCTGTCACTCTACTCTCCCCTCACGCTACACCTGTGCTCACTCCTGACTCACCCCTCACTCCGCTAACCATGCCTTCCGACGCCGCTACCCCTGTTCCTCCTACTCCTACTGACTCTACTCCTCGCCTCCAACCACTCTCGACTATTGTTCGATTTGATGGCTCTGACAAAATTAGTGTAGATGCTATGCTACGCGAGACTGAAGAATATGTGGCTGCCACGTACCCCGCACTTTCAAATCGGAGTTCCACGGAGTTTAGTGAACGTTGCTTGCAACATGTGTTGCAGCGTCTTGACCAGACATCTATCCCTGTAAGACAAGTCCTGACCGCTTTTGAAATGAGTAAGAACCGTACGTGGGACGATTTTAAGACCGATTTCCGACTGATATTCGCTACGAAGGACGTTCCCCCATTCCTACAAACTGCACGTATGTTTAACATGAGACCTGCCTCCTTTTCACCCATTGACCTGCATCTCCTAGGTGCAAATGCTCGGTCATCATTCGACCGAATGACGTGTGCACTTCGTGGTTCTTCTAACTTCTCTTATTTCAAGCCTATTGCAGACGCAATAGACGCTAACTATAATGTCTTTCAAACTTATTTCACCCTCTGCACCTTCTTTTCTGCTTTACCTCACGGCCAACAGGAGACTGTTCTTGATAAAATGCAACTCCCTGAAATGGCAAGGGACGTGCCCAATGCATTCCTGAAAGCCTATACGCAGTCCCCTAATTACGTGCCTGCTAGTGCATCCACAGCCCCGGTCTTGGCAACAGGAGTACAACAATCGCGTCAGCCGCAGTTTCCTCGCCAGTCGCAGTTTCCTCGTCAGCCGCAGTTTTCCCGTCAGCCGCAGTTTCCTCGTCAGTCGCAGTTTCCCCGTCAGCCGCAGCCTTCTCGCCAGTCGCAGCCCCTCCGTCAGCGTCAACCCCCACCTGCGTATGCACGATACCCGGCCACACAGCAGATGTCTAACCAGCCCCGCGTTACGACAAAGGACTTCACTTGGGTTCCTCAAATTGGTATCTGTTGGCGTTGTCTCCGTTCAGGACACCACTCTAGGGAATGTAGTAGTACCCCTTTCTGTCCTTACCATAATTTTGAAGGTCATATATGGCATGCTTGCAGAGATTTCCCTCATCTTGTTAAGAAAACCCAGGACGCAATGAGATCCCAGATTAAACCTAGGGAAACTAACTCGAATTTTTTAGAAGCCACGCCCCTACTTCAGGAACCTTGCTCACCGCAACCGTCAGAACTGTAGATGACATTCTTGCAGGCGACGCACCTCTCCTCCCTGCAGCCTTTGAAGGACGACCTGCATACTTCTTCGTCGACAGCGGCAGTGCTGTCAGCCTTGTCCCTCTCTCAACGCTCGTGAATTTCAACGTCCTCACCCCAGTCCGCCCTTCAAAGTGGTGCGTGCGAGCTGCAAGTGGAACTTCTCTCAAGGTCATGGGAGAAGTCAAACTCAACATTACCCTCTCCGGTAAGAAGTACTCGTTCCCATTCGTTGTCGTAGATGATGCTCATCTCCCCGGTGATCTCTTATTAGGATATAACTTCATGCACAAGGCCGAAATCCATCAACAACCTGACAGAGATACCGTCACTCACCAAGGTAACGTCTATCGTCTCACCACGCCGAGTTCTGTTTGGCATTCCTCCTCTATTTCCGCCAGTATTGCAGCTGCCACGACTTTTTCGAAACCCCCTGCAGTCGCCCCGACGCTGGACGACTCTCCGAAGGACGACCCAACTCGTCGCTCGCCCCTCGCTACGAATGCCTCTACGCAGGATCTTCAGAATCGCTGCTACACCACTTCGACGACACCGAACGTCAAGTCTCCCACGGTAAAGAATTCATCATTCACTTGGGCGCCCCAGACTGACGCCCCTGCCTGCATTGTCTCCTCAAATCTTACGCTCCCCCCTTTCACAGACTCGATGGTTCCCGTGCGTGTCTCATCTACGGATGGGACGGCGCTTGTCACACCTGACTGCATCCGTGTCAAGGGACTCTGTGCTCTCCCCGCGATCTACGAGGTAAGCAACGGAAAGAGTGTATTGCGTCTGATCAACGCAACCTGCACTCCTGTTCACCTGCGTCGTGGGACACAAGTGTGCGACTGTGAGGTCACCGATCTCCCTGTCGTAGAAGTAGAGCCCCCAATCGCACCTGTCTGCAACATGTCAGCTGCTACGAACGCCCCTGACGCACCCGGACCTGAAGAGACTCTGTGTGAACTCCCGCCTATGGACTTTGCAGAAGGAGAAGATGTTCTCCGACGACTACTGGAGGAGTTCCCCTCCATACTTCCCACCAAGGACCGCCCCTTGGGACGCACCGATGTTCTTCGGCACCGCATCGACCTCACCCCAGGTACGAAACCTATTTACATACCGTCTTACCGTATTCCTCACAGCCGACGAGCTGCCTTCAAAGAGGCCACCGACGCCTTACTCGCCCAGGGCATCATTGAACCTTCTCAATCACCATGGTCAGCTCCAATGCTACTCGTACCCAAGAAGGATGGATCTCTACGCCCCGTCATCGACTACCGCCGCTTGAACGCCGCCACAGTTCCTGACCGTTATCCCATACCGTCGATACGCACTCTTCTCCAAGAAGTAGGTGAGGGTCATGCAATCTTTTCGTCAATAGACTTAGCACATGGATTCTTGCAAGTCGAGATGGACCCATCTTCAAAGGATCTCACTGCCTTTTCTACTCCACATGGACATTTTGCTTTCACGAGAATGCCCTTCGGTCTTAGGAACTCGCCAATTACCTTTTCGAGATTGATGTCACTAATTATGCAAGGCCTGATTGGTGATGTAGCCTTCCTTTACTTAGATGATTTACTTATCGCCTCCAAGAACATTGCAGACCACGAACGTAAGTTGAAATTAGTCTTCCAGCGCCTCGCCGACGCGAACCTTACCATAAACGTCAAGAAATGCCAATTCTTCCGCAAACAGACTGAGTATCTGGGCCACACCATCGACTCAACAGGACTACGCCCCAACGACAAAAAGGTACGGGATGTGCAGAATTTCCCGGTGCCAACATCAGTTACCCAGGTAAAATCTTTCCTTGGTCTTGCAGGATTTTACCGCCCCTTCATCGAAAGGTTCGGGATCGTCGCCGAACCTCTGACCCGTCTCCTGAAGAAAGACACTCCGTTCACCTGGTCCAGTGAACAGCAACAAGCCTTCGAAGTTCTCAAGCAACGCCTCACCGAAGCTCCAGTTCTCTCGTTCCCCGATTTTAATGAGACCTTCTATCTTGCCACAGATGCTTCATCAATAGGGCTCGGAGCCGCCCTTATGCAACGCCACAATGGACGCTACAAACCAATCGCCTTCGCCAGTCGAAAATTGAACCAAGCCGAGAGAAATTATTCCGTCACCGACCTCGAAGCCCTCGCCGTCGTCTGGGCCCTCAAGCACTTCCGAGAAATCATTTTAGGTTACGATATTCACGTTCTAACTGATCATCGCCCACTTACGTATATCCTCACAGATTCAAGGCATATCAAAGGTCGTCAAGCCAGATGGATAGACACACTTCTGGAGTTCAACCCCAAGATTGACTACACGCCCGGGACAACCAACAAGGTAGCGGACGCGCTATCACGTAATGTTTCAGTCAATCACCTTTCTGTCCTCAGCCCCTCCGAACTCCAGGCGAAGCAGCGTGACGACCCACTGTATGCTGATATCATTGCTCACCTCGAGGATAACACTAAGCCCTTGCCAACGAACCGAAACCTCCCCATTGAAGAACTCTACCTCCGCGATGGCCTGCTCTTCCGGAAATCAGCTCCCAAGAAATTGCGTGGAGCCAAGCAACGTCGTACTTACCACCAGCTGGTAATTCCCGAAGTCCTCGTCCCTACAGTACTCAAGCTACTTCATGATTCTCACACCTCGGGACATCAAGGTATTTTCAAGTCTTTGCAATTAGCTCGCTCTCGCTATTATTTCCCCAGACTTGGCCCACGAGTTGTCGCTCACATCAAAAGCTGCCAGGTCTGTCCCCTCTACAAAGGACACACCGTCGCCCCAGCGCCTGCACTCACTTACGACATACCAGAACGACCCTTCGTCAGAGTGAGTATGGACATTCTTTCCGGTTTCACTCCCACGGAGAACCGAAATCGCTATCTGCTCGTCATGATTGACAGTTTCAGCCGCTATGCTGAGCTCGCCCCTATCCCTGACAAGAGCGCGGAGACAGTCGCTCGTGCCTTCCTCTCTCACGTCATCTGTCGCCATGGAGCCCCTGAGCAGCTCAT